CTGTCTGCGTCAGATTTAGGAGTTTATTCTATATTCTTATTAATTTGAAAATAGACTCACTATTCAGTATAACTATTTTCAAATGATGTAATATTTATGCCTTCTCTTCCCCACATTTTTCTTGAAAGTATGAAGAATGTCTTCTTTTTAAACCAATCCTTTCAATGCCTAATGTTGTTGCGGCATACAATGTGTAAGTGGTCAATGAATAAACATATAATAGGATGACTGAAAGGCTCATTTGTCTTTAGAAAATGAATTTATAGCAGCACTTCTGTGGAAATGCATGCTAGATATATTTGGTGATGTGGCAATTGGATTACATTTCTCGAAGGAAACTGTGGTTCCAGGATGGGCCTGGAAACCATAGCCCAGAGCTATGTGGGCGCGCAGCCCTGGTGGGTTGGCAGGAGCGGGAAGCCTGCAGCTTGGGGGGGAAATGTTGTTCCAGGGTGCCCTCTAGTGATCCAAGGCACCACTAGGTCAGAAACTGGGGCCAGAGGCTTTTGAACTTTGGCAGGATCATGGATGGAACCTGATAAAACTATAGATGCCAGGATGCCAATCCAGCCAGGAGATCAATCCTTGTAATGGGCATCTTCATGGATCTGATGCATGGTCCTTAGATCACACTTTGTGAAAGGGTGATGCTCAACAAACAAACAAACAAACAAAATAACAAAACAACATTCTAGCTAGGTAGTTTGAGAATACCCAGCCTCATTCCTCTGCCTGTAGGGATGGATCACAGATTCCTTGCTGATTATTCAAGTGTGAACTTGAGTGAGAGAGAGAGACAACCACACACAGAGATGGCCTTGGTTCTCTGGGATGAAGTACAGTCCAGCACACATAAGAACATTCGGAAACATAAACATGCTGGACCATTGAGCAAATGTTTCAGGGAAAATTGTGTCACTTGATGTCCATTTTCCAGTTGGGTGGGGCAGCCCTACTCCTCTTGTTGTGCATTTCCTGACAGTGGGCACCCAGTTTCTATGGAGCACATACTCCATGGCCAGCACTGTGCCGGATTGTTGGCATATGTCACCGCTAGAAGTCACTGGACTTGTCAAAAGTAAAGCGTTTCTCAGGCCATACAAGCAGGATTGCTGGAATAGTGGTCCGAGTATGGCCAACAACTAGAATTTTGTGCCTTCTGTATTTGTGTTCTGTTAAGCAGGCTCACTGGAGGGATTCCTCTATTGCCAAAAGAGCTAATTCCTGTTCAGAAACCCAACAATGTCCGGCAGTGATTTAAAAAAAAAAAAAATGCATCTCTGAATCTCCACCATAATTGTCCTCTTCTTGCTCATTTCAATTGAAGGCTGCTGCTTTAATTAGGGGCTATTAGCACATTAAAATATTTGTTGAACCTTGCAAGGTGATAAATTATTCCGAATTGCAGTCCATACTCAGGACTAATTATTTTCTTTTCCTTTTTCATGTACTAATAGCACCTAATGAATTCAGTTAAGTGGTAAAATCGCGCTGATTGAGTGTCTCCTATGTGTCTGGGCAGTATGCTGGGTTGTGGAAATATAAAGGAGGCTAGGTAAGGCTGAGTGCTCCCACTGGGTCAGAGTCAAGAGAGGACTTTATCTCTGGTGCAATGTGATGAGTGCCCTACGAGAAATATGAACCGAGGGCTAGGATAACACGGGACAATTACTTCCCTCCATGGGAACCAGTGGATAGAGAAATGCTATCACAGGATACACTCTAATATTCTAATAACTGGTGGACATTAGTATTTTCATGGGGAAAATACTAATTCATTTTCAGACGCTCTTGGACAAAAGAGTTATCAAATCTCTCTTGTCACGAATAACCATGTTTTCGTTCATACCTTCCCGCCTCCCTGTTACTATATCTTTAAAACAAAGCATGAGGTGCTTGCTGGCCTGATGCCATTTGATTCCAGTCCTGCTCATGTGCTTATCCGGAAAACTTGAAGCATCGGCTCACAGAGCCCTATAATGAGAAAGCTCGTTAAAAAGCCTTCTGAAATGGGGAAACAAATTACATGCACGACAGGACCCACGCTTTTCCTCTTCACTTCCTTCTCCCCCTCCCAGGCGGCAGCATTACAAATGACGAGGCCAAGTGAGTCATCAGGTCAGAGAAAGCACTACCGAATGTGTCTGTCTTTACCTTGCCGCTTTGATGGACGTTTATTTTGCTTCACTGCAGCACTAAAATGTTGCCCAAACAGCAGGAGGGCCCAGTGCAAGGGATAATGGCCTTGGAAAAAGCCTTTGATTGTGTGCATTCAGGTGGAATTTGAGCTTGTAATTGGTGAATGTGCATACTGTCCCGTCTCAGAGGCGCGCGCTCCCTCTCTCTCTCTCTCTCTCTCTCTCTCTCTCTCTCTCTCTCTCTCTCTCTCTCTCTCTCTCTCTCTCTCTCTCAAGCTTGTTTATTCCTGGGGAAGGAGGAAGTTTCTTTCCTCCCAGGTGTATCTGTGGTCACCTTGGAAGGTTTCCTCAGGAGGCTTACTTCAGGAAGGTAGAGATCATATTCAGGGCTGGGCCTGCTGCAAAGTGTCTTATAAGGTCACTCTTTGCTCCTCTCAAGCCTGGAACATCATGAGCCGGGATAGACTTCCTGCCCCTGGTTCAAAAGGAAGCAATGGCCGTGATTGTCCACAGGGAGGAAGAGATGGGAGGTATCTTTTCCCCCTTCCTTCTCTTATCCTGGAGTTTGCAAAAGGAAGGCTACAAATACCAAACAATCCATCCACACCTGGTAGCCAGGGCAATGTTTGTGGGGAAAAGGAAATCCTCCCCACCACCTAGCCCCTTTGGGGTTGAGGCACTTACAGTGGAATACCTGTACTCTGTGGTGAGGTAGATACCACATCCTTTAAGTTGGAAGACTGGGTTTAGGCCCTGCCTTCAGCACTGGCTAGCTGTTTGATTCTTGAGAATTTGCAAAACACCTCTAAGTCCCAGTGACTACCACGGGCCAGGCTCTGTGCCAGCCTCTGACAATAAAAAAATAAAGAAGTCATGGGAGTGGGGGGTAGGAGGAGGATTGGTGGGGGAGGGAGGTCAATTTCGGAAAAAGGAAGCATATGTAATACTATATGTAATACTGTAAACTATGAAAGATTGCCCCACCCTAAAGATTTTCATAATATGCTGGGAAGACAGAGGCATAAACAGTTACAACATAATGTGATGCATGCTTTACTAAAACTACACAGGAATTGTCATAAAAACAAAAGGAGAGTATTGTGTATATTATGGAGGGGGGAAGAGTGAGAAGATGAGAGGTGGTGAGACTATAGTTAGGAAAGGCCTCATAAATCAGAAAGTTGAGCAGAATTTGAAGGAAAAAAGAGAGTTCACACAGGAAGAGAGAGAAACTAGGGCGATAAAAAGAGCTGTCAACAAAAATTCCCCAAAGAGAATACTAAAAAATGGAGAGACTGAACAGTTTGCAAAACAGGGAGATGCGGCACCTGGTGGAAACTGGAAGTGGGCTTCACCAAGGCAAAGGGGGTGGAAACTGGAAGTGGGCTTCACCAAGGCAAAGGGGAGGTGGCCTTTTTTAATTTTTTTACTTAATAATGTTGGGACTTCTTATAAAAATTAGGATATTTTGGTCCTTCTCCCCTCCAAATAGCTGGAATTATTTATGATGGTCTGCCCTCCCTCCTTTGGGAGGTCGCCTTTTACAGAGAAAGTTCCTGTCCAGGTTTCCACGTGGTCCAATTTTATGCAAATTAGGTTTCTAAATTTGTACAGTTCTGATTGGTCCATATGATGCAGTTCTGCTTGGTTGGTATTGTGTGTTCTGATTGGTCAGTGTAGATGCAAATGAAGATAGAGTTGTGCAGTTCTGATTGGATGGGTAGGTCTCTGTCCATTGGTCGAAAGATAAAACCAGGGCTTTCCTGCAGTGGTTGATTTAGACTCCTAAAGAAGTAGGGTATAGTGCTGGGAAATCCAGAGTTTAGACTGACATTCTTCCCAGTATACAGAGTACAGGAAGAGCACCTGTCAACAAATGGCCACCATTTGTTAGTCTATCCTTTGTGGATAGACTTGGGTCTTCAGTTGATTATGGGGAGTTCATCTCAGTTGAAATTCCTTTTCGGAGTTTACATCAGATGAATCTTCTCAGGGTCAATAGAAGGCTGGTTGACAACAATAAAGGGGTGACAGAGGACAAAGAATCTTTGAACAAGACTGAGAAGGAGCCAAAACTGGTATAGCTCAGTGAATAGAGCATTGGACTGCAGACTGAAAGATCCCAGGTTTGATTCCGGTCAAGGGCATGTACCTTGGTTGTGCGCACATCCCCAGTGGGGTGTGTGCGTGTGCGTGTGTGTGTATGTGTGTGTGTGTGTGTGTGTGTGTGCAGGAGGCAGCTGATTGATTTTTCTCTTTCATCGATGTTTCTATCTCTCTATCCCTCTCTCTTTCTCTCTGTAAAAATCAATGAAATATATACATATACATATACATATACATATACATACACACACACACACACACACACATATATATATATATATGTGTGTGTATATATATATATATATATATATATATATATATATATATATATATATTGAGGAGTGGGCTGAAAAGTAGGAGAATCATCAGAAACTGGCTTCAGATGTGAGACGCCAACCACAATGGGACTGGCAAGCATCCACTAGCCTGGGCAAATGGGGGATCACTGGTGATTTCAGCAGGAACAGTTTCAGTGGTTTTCAGGGGGACATCACAGTGGAGAGTGAGTGGAAGGAAAGCTAATGAGCATATTCTTTACCTTCAGTAGACTTGGCTGTGGGGAGGAGATAAATTAGGTGTTGGCTAGAGAGGGATCAGGGGTTGAAGGAATATTTTTATTGTTTTTGTTTATGATTGAAATGTGGGCTTTGTACCACAGGGAAGGATACAGTGGAATGGGAGGAGTTAATTTAAAGGAGAGAGATGGGACTAAGTGGGTTTAAATCCTACTTGTAGAGTCCTTTAGAGGAATAAATGAGAGCCCCTAGGCAAACCCTTTTGTAAAGAGATAAACACGTGTGAATATGATTTTCCTACCAGTGAAATAAAACCTGTATGCACCACAAGGCATTTGAGCTCACTTATCACTTGGCTTCTGAGATAGGCAAATCTCCCTCTCCACAGCTTTTTTGTGTGTGCTGCTTTCCTACTTCCTCTTGCCATCACTTTAGACCCAGAGCCCGAGAAAGAACTGAGCCCTTCTTGACATTTCTTCCTGCCAAACAACACAACTAACCAGCTCCCCTGGATCAAAACAGGAAGCTGAGGGTTGATAAGTGAAGAGTGATTAAGGGAGGGACAAGAGTCTCCTGATTGTTAGGAGGAGGGACCCACATCCAGACCTCCGGAAACCTTGCTTCTTCAGAATATTAGCCTTTCATCAGATAAGCCTGGAGCCCCATGGGCCATGATGTGGACTGTCCCTTTACAGACACCAGTGGCCTCTTTTCCATCTCGGTTCATAAACTGCATGTCCCACCAGGGCAGAGATTTTTGTCTTATTTTTCACTGCTGTATCCCCATGACTAGAACAGTGTCCAGCACATGAATGGTATCTAATGAATATGTGTTAAGTGAGTGAATCCACCCATTCTATCATCCTTCCTTTGACTCAATAAAAATGGGTATATATTATGGGATGACTACCACACTTATTCTAGATAAACAGAGATAACTAATATTTGTTATACTTTTTAAAAGGTATCTTTATTGTTGAATATATGACAGATATTCCTCCCCCCTTTTTTCCCCATTGACTTTCCTTCACACTGACCTGCCTACTTTTTATCTTGTTTGAAAGATATGTGTATTCTGTGCTAGGAACTTTACAGACATTAGTTCACGTAATCACAATCGGGGAAACTGAGGCTCAGATAGAAATCATTTGGTTGAAGATATATGGCTGGAAAATGGTGAAGCTGGAATTTCTCACTGCCTGATTCTAAAACTTATGCTTGTCAGCCTTCAGACCAAAGAGTCCTAAGTTCCATCCCGGCCAAGGGCATATGCCTGGGTTGCAGGCTTGATCCCCAGTAGAAGGTGTGCAGGAGGCAACAGATTAATGATTCTCTCTTACCATTGATCTCTCTCTCTCTCTCTCTCTCTCTCTCTCTCTCTCTCTCTCTCTCCATCCCACACTTTGGAATCAATAAAAAAATATTTTAAAAAATAAAACTTATGCTCTTTCTACACCACCACCTGCTTCTGCAGCCTCATCCCTCACCATAACTCAAACCATAACTTCAGTTACCACATACCACTTGCATTCCTTGAACATGCTACGTTCTCTCTCATGAACTCCATTGCCTGGGGCAAACTTAGCTGTGCCCTCTGTCTGGCTAATTCTTCCTCATTCTCCCTCTGGGACATTTTCTTGAAACGATGTTCTCCAAATGGAGTAGGTTTAACTCTGTGCTCTTACAGCCCTCTTTGTAGCCCTATGTCATAAAATTCCCAGGAATTTTAGATGCCAATTTGTGTGCCTCCCAATGCTAGATGGTGAGAGGTTCAAGGGCAGGAACTGTCTTCAGAAAAGCTGCTATTTATTGAGTGCTGCCCTGTACTCACTGACCTTGTTTAATTCCCAGTCATCACCGGAGATGGGTCTTATTATGCTTGTTTTACAGATGAGATAATAGAAGCACAGAGAGGTTGACTAACTTTCCCAAGGTCACACCGAGTAAGAGGCTGAACCAGGAAATATCTGATTCTAAATTCTTTTCAGAACCATCTACAGTGTTTACTACTTAGCTGTAGGGATAAACAGATAAATTACCACCCGAACAATGAGATTAGCTAATACAGGTTTACACAAACTTCTTTGGGGGAACATTTGGCAGGGGAGAAATTCTTCTTTCTGGGGATGGGGTTAGAAAGGCTTCATAAAGTTGCCAGAATGCTTGTGACCTTGTAAACTGGTTCCATATGATGGTTGAAGATGAAAGATAGATTCCCGCATCAAATACTGGTGGTTGGTTTTGGGGTCCACAGCAGCCATTGTCAAGGTCACCACTGCTTCCAAATTGGTCCATCTGGGTGCTAAGCATTGAGCCCAAATGTCTGCATGTACCTGCTCAAGTCATGACTGGTGACAAAGCAAACTAGTCAGCAATTGTTTCATTAAAATCGTGTGTGTGTGTGTGTGTGTGTGTGTGTGTAAACTATTTAACATAATCATAGTTTTCATCTTACACACTATACTTTAAATTTAAATGAAATCAGTACATTTTCAAGCTGACAGCTACATGGAATAGGATAGTCACTCCTAATTATGTATTAGCATCTCTTCCTGCTCTTGTCCCTTAACTGCACAAGTGTCGCTCGAGGCTGCTTTCTCTATATTCTCTTCTTTAGGGAATTCGCCTATATGCTAGGCTCGAACGGCAGTAAAATTCCTATAAAATTAATCTTGAAGCTACAAGCAAAGCATGGCTTTGAGATGTTTGGTACAATTCCTTCTTTGTCTGCTCCAGAGGGCATTTGTGAGGAAGGTACAGTGGGCAGCCAGATTCAGTCCTTGCTGTGGCTCTGGCATCAGGCGATGAGGAAGCTTCTGAACTGCTCCACTTCCTGGCTGCGTGGCTTTGGGCAAGTTATTTCACCTCCTTCCAGCCTACATCCCTGATCTATAAAAGAGTGAGAATAATAGTATCGCAGGAAGAGGATTATTGTGAGTACTAACGAAAGGAGGCAAAAGCACGCCCGTAGTGACTGGTTTGCTCTAAGTTGCCAGCAAGTGCCTAGTTGCAAGGATAATTATTATTACTCTCATCTTTGGCAGGATGGAGCAATTTAGGTGACAGTGATTTGAGACCTTTGAAGTGCTTTGAAGATGCGAAATATTATTATTGTGCAGAATGTTGAGTGAGACCCAAAGACGTGAATAAGAAATCAGGAGAGCTAGATCCTAATGGCTCTCTTGCCACTAAGCCTTGATGTGACCTTGGCCCAGGCTCTCTGTACGCCTCCTCTTTCTAGTTGTAGATGAAACGGCTTGATTAGATTATCTTTTGGGGAATAAGGGGGGTTTTCAATAAGTTCATTTTTTATTTTAAAATGTTTTTAATTGTAGGGTGATTAGATTATCTTGAAACTTCACCCCAGCTCTGAAATGCTGTGATTTGATTCTGTGTTGGAGTAAATCTCACACGGTCTCTGGAATAGAGTAGGTCAATACGTATTACATATATCCATGGCCAAAGCTCATCTCTGAGGCTGGGAAAAGTTAATGTCAATGACAACAATCAGAAATAGCAATCTGGGGGAATTCAATAAAAAGGCAAGCTTACTCCCACACACATCAGAAATCTTGAAGGACAGCATTGTGGCAGAAGATAATAATATATCTGTAATAGCAACACAGTAGTCCTTCCCTTACCCGTAATTTTGCTTTCTGGGTTCTTAGTTACCTGCAGTCAACTGCAGCTCAAAAATGTTAATTTTAGAAATAGAAATAAACACTTCAGAAGTTTTAAATTACCCACTGTTCTGAGTAATGGAATGAAATCTCGAGTTGTACCGCTCTGGTTCCTTACCTTAGGTGAGTCATCCCCTTGTCCAGCGTCTCCATGCTGTGTCCACTTCCCCCTCCCCATTAGTCGCTTAGTAGCTGTCTTGGTTATCAGATCCACCGTGTGGTATCCAAGTGCGTGTGTTCAAGTAACTCTTATTGTACTTACTAATGGCCCCAACGCACAAAAAGTAGTGATGCTGGCAATTCAGGGTGTGCCAAAGAGAAGCTGTAAGATGCTTCCTTTAAGTGAAACGGTATGAATATATAGGGAAAACATAGGATATATAGAGTTGGGTACTACGTAAGGTTTCAGGCATCCACTGGAGGGGGGGGGGGGTTAGTCTTAGAATATATTTTCCACAAAGAAAGGGAGACTACTATACTGACCTGACAACAACAACAATAACAACAAAAAGACCAGATTATGCCCAGCAGGAAAGTGGGTGCAAGACACCTTAACATTTTTTGGGGAGATGTGGCTTTGGATAGTAATGTGCTGGCAGCTCTCCCACACAGCTTGCTGTACTGAGTACCTGCTCTGAGCAGATGTGGTGGTAAGAGGGGCCCCTGAGACAAAGTCTGGTCTGCAGGTGCTGACAAACTAGTGGATAAAGCATTTTAGCTGTGGGAAATACTTGAGCATTGCCTGCATTTCCCAGTATGCTGCTTACATTGTTCATATATTGTCCATTATTCTGTGAAATCATAGCTGTTTGTTTATTCAGCTCCGGGTTGCTTCTCCACCCTCAGCCCTCCAGCAGCTTCTGGATGTTAAATATTAGCTCTTCATGTGAGCTGTTGCTGCAGGAAGAGTCGCTCTTTTACTTCCTAATGAGTCCTGAAACTGGTTTGCAGGGCAATTATTGATTTTTTCTCTTACCAGAAGGCTGATCAGTTCGTAGTTAGCTGTTTGGTCTTACTCTTCTACAGGACTCAAATTTTATTCTTTCTGTCCACTTTTCCCCTAATAAAACAAAATATCCAGATGATAATAAAAACTAGATAGTATGGTGTGGTGGCAACACTTTGAGGAAGAGGCAAAATATTTCTTTTGCTACTATAGCAACTACTATTAAATGCCTTGTCACTTACCTTTGAAGCTCTTTGGAAATGTGAGCGCTATTTTGCATATACAATTAAGTGTTGAATCACCTCGATTACCTAAGACACTTTCATCTTCCTCTAACCTTTTTCTTAAAGGCACTTTAACTATTTTCTTCAGATATCATTATTAAATGTAGGATGCAGTATTGATAGATTTCTCCAAACTCATTGATTCTCACATTCCCTAAGAATGACAAGGACATTATGAAGACCACAGTAGAAAAAATTTCCATAAAAATACTTATCAAGAATAAAAAACTTGATTCTTACAGATACTTCAACAATTCATTGGAGAAACATGCATTAAGTTCCTAAAAGTGTTGCAAAGTACTTCAAATACAAGGAGGTTAAAGAAATGGTTGCTGCCCGCAAGGGACCCCATTAAAAATTGCTTGCTTTTTTATATCTTGTATAAATACCTAATATTTTACAAAATATTTTCCACATATAACAACTCATTTTATCCTCAGTACAATCAATCCTGGTTTCACCCTTCATAAACTTGAGATTTCTTATCGTACACTATTATTTGGCAACCAGAATGTTCACTTTGAAAATGCTAATGTTAGTATTTCTCCATTAATCCTGGTTTGATTTTATGTGCCTAATGACTTAAGAGTTTGCAAAGTACCTAATTGGAAAGAATTACTTTTCCATTTTCTCACCTTCTAGTCCTTGTTCCTCCTGAGAGCAACAGGGGCTAAAATGACTTTTCAAATTCCTTGTGAGTGCTCTTAAGATAAAAGTGATGACCTGGTTCTTGGGTTTCTTTCCCACCAAAAGCCTGTGGGCAGTAATCTCAAAAGTTCATTTCTGCTGAAACCGGTTTGGTTCAGTGGATAGAGCCTCAGTCTGCAGACTGAGGGGTCCTGTGTTTGATTCCTGTAGGGGCATGTGCCTTGGTTGTGGGCACATCCCCAGTGGGGCATGTGCAAGAGGCAGCTGATCGATGATTCTCTCTCATCGACGTTTCTAATTCTCTATCCCTCTCTTCCTCTCTGTAAAAAAAAAATCAATAATATATATATATATATATAAAGTTAATTTCTCCTTCATATTTATTCTCTATTTTTTTTTTCTTTATTCTACTCCTGGTCATTCTTTCCAGGTCATTTGCTATCTTGCACTCTTGTTTCCATTAAAAAAAAAAAAAAAAAAAAAAAGGAAGGAAGGAAGGAAGGAAGGAAGAAAGAAAGAAAGAAAGAAAGAAAGAAAGAAAGAAAGAAAGAAAGAAAAAGAATTTAGCAATTTGGGGATTATCTTGCCCAAGGTTTTCTCTTTATGGAAGAGAAAAATGGGCCCCACAGCCATCAGATGTTAGTGCCAAAGCCAGCCAAATAGATAGCAGAGCTGGGCTTGAACCTGAGAGGCTATACTCTGACTAGATGTCCTTCAAAGACATCACACTGCCTTTAAAGCTACCTGTCAAAGGAAACATATTCCCCAGGATCATATGTGCTTCTCTTATACTGGCAGAATGCTGACATTTGATTACTGCTGCAACAGAGGTCTACCCCGTTGTATAATACTTCACAGATTATATCGTTATGTTTTTTTCTTTTTCCCCGAGTGCACCTGTTCAGCTAGGAATTAGATGATCACTGAACCAATTATTGAGCATCTACCTTGTGCCAGGCATAATACTGGCTTCAGAGCTATGAAAACTACCAGGTTTTTGGCTTGACTTTAACTGGAAATATTTTTTTGGACTTGGGTCAACTCATTCCACATTGGATTTTTAGTAACCACATGGTTTTAGTGTAAATGGTCCTATAAGTGTGAGGAAATTGGTAACAAGAACTGAACTTTGCCCTGGCCCATGGAGTTCAATGGTTAAGAGTGTGAGCCCTGAGCACCAAAGGGTCAGGGGTTCAGTCCCAGGGCAAGGGCAGGTGCCTGGCTTGTAGGTGCAATGCCGGCCTGGCAAGGCACAGCAGGTGTGTCTCACAAGGATGTTTCTCTCTCTTCCCTCTCCCTCCTTCCCATTCTCTCTCTAAAAATCAATAGAACAAATATCCTCCGGTGAAGATTAGCAAACAAGCAATCAAACAAACAGCATTAAAACTCTCATAAGGCGTTGAAAGGCAGACATGGGAGCCTTTTACCTATGCATTTAGGATTTGACACGTGCAGAAGACCCAAGAACCACTATTTACATGCCACCACGTGTGGTTTTCACAGGCTCCCAGATTTGCTATAAAAATGCCAACGGAGCCAAAACCTGTGTGGCTCAGTGGATAGAGCCTGGTAGGTCTGCTGACTGAAAGGTCCCAGGTTCGATTCCGGACAAGGGCATGTACCTTGGTTGGGGGCACATCCCCAGTAGGGGTGTGCAGGAGGCAGCTGATCAATGATTCTCTCTCATCAATGTTTCTAACTCTATCCTTCCTTCCTCTCTGTAAAAAATCAATAAAATACATTTTTTAAAAAATGCCAACAGATGGATAATCTCGGGTAATCGGTTCCCTGTGACGACTTTTTCTCTTTCCCTTGCGGTGGGCTCCCCCTCCAGGAAAGCCTTCGGGACTAGGGACGAGCGCCCGGGGTGCGGGCGGCTGCGCGCGGGGACTGGTCTGGGGCGCGACCGTCCCGGCAGCTCTGCCCGCCGGGTCGGGTCGTGTCCCGGCCGCGGCCGATCCCACTTCCGCCCCCGGACGCGGGGGGGCGGGGCCGGCGCCGTCCGCTCTTCCTGTCCCCGGACCCCTCCCGCGCCCTCCCCGCCCCTGCCCTCCGGGGGCTGACTCCCTGCGCGGGGACATGGCGGCGGCGACCTTTTGGGGACGTTGTTGCTTCCTTAGGTCCTGCAGGTGGGACCCTCCCCGACTCTTCCCTGAACTCCCCAAGGCAGCGGCGCGGGTGACCCCGAGTCACCCAGGCCCCGTCCCCCGCTGCAGGGGGGCCTGGCCGGGCGGCGGCCGCCACTACCGCGCCGCGCGCTGCGCCGAGTTGAAGCAGCCCCTGGCCATTGAGGAGGTCGCCCCCCGCCCTGTCGGGCCTCGCGAGGTAGGGCGACTGGCCTGTCTGTCCCCGGGGCCTCTGGACACCCCCTCACGTTCCCACCGGACTGAGTTCCCAAGCGCGCAGCCAGGGGGCAGCTTCACCGTGGGCCCATTCATGGAGGGCTCACCGAAAGGGCGAAAGGTCTGAGGAAGGTGGTTCTCCCCAACACACCAGTGGAGAACCGCTTTCAGAACGCCCCCGGAGCTGTCGTTGCCTTGGAAACAGAGAATTCTGACTAGCACACCATTTTTGCATAGCCACCTGCAGGGTATGGTTTTAACGCAGATATAATACATGGACCCCATCCGTTGCTGTCTCTTGGGTGTCAGCATCTAATTATCTGCCCTCCTTCTTCCCCTAAACCAGCGACGTCCACTGGAATATGTGTCTTGTCTTATGCCCCCCTGGGCTGTCCTGCAGTGGGGTGGGGTTTAGGGTGTGGGTATTTCCAGTGAAATGGGGAAGCCACTCTGGCCTTGTGGGTTGATCCCTCTGGTGACACAATGTCAGCCGGCATGGAGAATGAGCGCTTCTGAGTTAGATGCAGCAGGCGGTGAGCCTCAGTGTGAGGGACCCCTGGTGAGAGGGAGACATGTGGCTTCGGCCCCTGAGTGCCACTAACGGGCACCTGCCGGCTAACTGGATTATTTGGGTGAGCACGTGATGGCAGCCGCTCAGCTTCCTGGGACTCAGATGCTGAAAGACATGAATCCTCCAATCATCTGTGAGGCAAGGTGGAGTGGCTTGAGGTCATGTATGTGTTGCATATGTAAACTATTTTAGGCAACTGCAGGCTAGAATTGAAATTCAATAAATCTAGGAGTTTTCACGGCAACATAAATTTATGTTAAGCGAATTCTATTAAGCAAACGATGTTATAAATATCCAAGTGGCCCTTGGCAGAAGAAAAGTTTCCCCACCCCTGGTCTAAAGAAACTGCTGGCTACACTGCTGCAGGACTGCCTCAGCTTCAGTGCTGTTTTAAAACATAAGCTGGTGATCTAACTCTAGCCTGCAGATGATTCCTGATTCCCAAGACAGCTGATCTTGTTACGATCCTGCTTAAAATTCTTTCATGTCTTCCCATTATTCCTACCTTGAAGACTAGGATGATCAATAAAGCCTATAAACCCGTGGATGGTATAGGCCCTGCTCTAAAACCCCATCTCTTTCTCCTATTTGTGCTCTAGGCTTACTGGTTTTTCTTTTGTCCCCACCACAGTGCCTTTGCACATGACATTGCTTTTGGCAGTGCCAGGATTCTCTCACCTATTTTGAATAGTTTAACTCTTGGCTGTTCTTAGTTCAAGTGTTACTTTCTTAAGGATTTCTCCTGACTTGCCCAAAAGGTTAAGTCTCCCCACATTATGCCTTCATAGCATCATATATTTCTATTTTTAACATTTTGTGTGGAAGTTGTCATTTAACATGTAAATACTCACAGTTATTTGGTTGAATATCTGTCTTCTCTACCATACTGTTTGCTCCATGAAGGCAGGGAAATTGTCCATATTGATTGCCTCACGATGGTGCATAGTGACTTAGTTCAGTACCTGGCATATAGTAGGTATTCAGTAAATATTTTGCTATAATTCAATTACTGTCTCCATGGATATGTACTGCTCTGCTGTTTCCTTTATAGGTCAGAGTTGATGTCCATTTCTGTGGAGTTAACTTTGCTGACATTTTGGTTTGCCGTGGCCAGTATCAGGAACGGCCCCAGCTTCCCTTCACACCTGGTAGGTATGGAGGGGCCCAGGGCCTGCTGCAGGGAAGGAAGACACCCTTTCAGAACCATGCGCTTCATCTATGACTCTACCCCAGTGGTACCTGCCCACTGTCAGTGACTCTCAGACATGTCAGCCTCTCCACTCATTAGAAGCATTAGATTGTGGGAAATTTCTGACTATTTTACCCTTATTATATCTCTCAGTTTAGCATTGTAACTGGCTCATAGTAGGTGCTCAATAAATATTTTTAAAATGAACAAATGTATGCTCACATATCATTCTGTCCATCAGAATTCTGATCCCAATCATCATTGGTCCTAGTCATTTCCTTTTGTTCCTTAACATTGCCTCAAAAAAAATTTTTTTGCAGCTAAAACTCTTATTTAAAAAACATATTTTTATTGATTTCAGAGAGGAAGGGAGAGGTAGAGAGAATTAGAAACATCAATGATGGGGGAGAACTATTGATCAGCTGCCTCCTGCACGCCCCCCACTGGGGATCGAGCCCGCAATCGGGTACGTTCCCTTGACTGGAATCGAACCCTCCAGTTCACAGGCTAAAATTGTATCCACTGAGCCAAACCAGCTAGGGCAAAACTCTTATTCTTTACATATTCCCAAAGAAACTGATTATCAGAGGATCAGAAAGAAGGAAAGAACTTATACATTTCTAGTAGCACATTATCTTCTCTGATTTTCATTATGCCCCATTTGATGACATTTAAATTCTGAAAATGTGGACAAATGATTGATTTTTGTTGTTGAAATTTATTTAAACAGGTATAAGTGTAGTTCAGCATGTATATGCTGCATGTATATTTTATACAGAAATGTACTGTTAAGGATATAGTAATTGCAAAATAGTTGCTGTGTTTTGGCCTTAGGGTGTTTGGTTGTGTCTCAACAGCTGGAACCATTTCCCTCTGTTGTTATTTGCTGAAATACTGGATAGAGGGAAGATGTCATGTCATACTCAATTGAGTTAGTCCTCTGGCAGCTCAAGTGGGAAATGTATGATCATTAAATTCAGAAATTTTGGAGGTGGAAGAGGAAAGGGCAGACAACACTAGTTTATCCAGTTGAGCCAACTACTGTATGCATAAATATGGTTCATGTCCTTGAGGGCCTCTCAGTCCAGAAGAGGACTGTGGCATCCAGTATGATGAATATCGTAATTGGAGTACTATAGGAGCCCAAGCCCCCAGCGATCAGGTTCGAAAGTATTTGTGTATCTGTAAAAGTACTGTGTCCCTCCGTGCTTTCACTCTCCTTGAAATTTTTATTTGTGTCCTGGTAAGAATGGGGCTGCTGAAAATCTTTTTTTTTTTTTTTTAATTTAATTTTATTGATTTTTTACAGAGAGGAAGAGAGAGGGATAGAGAGTTAGAAACATCAGTGAGAATCATTGATCAGCTGCCTCTTGCATGCCCCTTACTGGGAATGTGCCCGCAACCAAGGTACATGCCTTTGACCAGAATTGAACCCAGGACCCTTCAGTCCGCAGGCCAATGCTCTATCCACTGAGCCAAACCGGTTTCGGCTGATCATGAAAATCTTAAGTTCACTTTCCTGTGATTTGGGCACAAAACTCTTTCTCCTCCTCCCTGGGTGAGTGAGGGGAGGCACTTAAACTTCTCAGTTTCAGAAAGCTTGTGGATACGAATCTTCTGACCTCCATGATGCTGGACTTTACAGATAATCTAATCTCAAAACACATTTGTTTTAGGAATGGAATTTTCTGGGACAGTATTGGAGACAGGCCCAGATGTCAGCACAGTGAAAAAGGTAAACTTGTTGAAATTTAGAGAATTGATGTGTATGTAGCTTTGAGAAACAAGGGTCTTGTGTCTCCTGGTCTTTTTCAGAAGACACCAAAGGGAAACTGAGGTGGAGGGGGGAGAAATGAATTCTGCATTGGGGGAAGGAAGGCAGTAGAACTGCCTTGCTTTATTAAACTTTCATTACCAACAAGAGGTCCTCAGTGGCTAAGAGGATAGGAAATTATCAAATCTCATCTTCTTGTGAAAAAAATTATCACTGGGATTCTAACTCTTATCTAAATTCATATTCTAATTGATACCCATATCATTGTCCAAAATATGCTCAGGTTGGCTTGGCATCGTGGTGGGGGAGGTGGAGAAAGAGGCTGAATTATTTATTAAACATTAACTCTAAATAGATAGGGCAAACCTGGGGGGTCGTATGGAATCAGAAAGAAAGATGCATCTGAACTTACCTTACCGATATTTTCCCTTCAGGGAGATCGAGTAATTGGCGTGAGTGGCCTTAATGGAATGGCTGAAGAATGTATCACTGACCAGAAGGTATTCCTCTCTCTCAATATCAATGTTTAGGTATTTTTTTTTTTAAATTTCCTTCCTTTTCTTTAATTTTTACCTACCCCTCATTCTTCATGCCCCTCTACCCCACCCCTTTTTCTTTGTATTTGTTTGGTCATACCTTGTTTTTCAGCCAAGCAC